TATGTTTTTATTTTTAAAATCATTCCTGAGGCCCCTTGATCCTCTATACCAAGAGAAAGGCAAAACAGTGGTGCCTCGCTTAACGAGCGCACCGCATAACGAGGAAATCGCATAGCGATCTGTTTTTTCGGATCGCTAATGCGATCGCTTAACGTTTTTTGAATAGGGCACAATTCACTTTGCGAAGACCGGTAAGCGTTTTGCTTACCGATCTTCGCAAAACGAAGCCCGACGATCAGCTGTTCGGTGGCCAAAATGGCCGCCGGAAGCCCGGAAATGGCCCAAAATGGCTGCGCGCAGCGTTTTCGCGCCCTCGTTAAGCAAGGTGAGGGCGCGAAAATGGCTGCCAGCCATTACGAAGCTTCGCTGAACGGTGAGTATTTGGCCCATTTGGAACGCATTAAACGATGTTTAATGCGTTCCAATGGGTTTTTTTGATCCGTTCAACGATGCTTCAGCATAGCGAAGGTTAATCCGGAACGGATTAACCTCGCTATGCGAGGCACCACTGTACTGTATATGATGAAATAAAGACTGAAAGGATTAAATCCTTGAAGGAGACAAGGTTGTTTCTAAACATGTCTAAAGAGCATTCTGGGAAGTCCTAAATCAACCCCAGAATCTGGGATTGCCAGGTTGGCTGCATAGCTGAGATTTCAGGTCCAAAAGCTGGGACCTGGAGAATGAGGTCTAAAATGCAAGTCTGAGGACCAAAATCCAAGACCAGAAACCCTACGTCAATCTCACTGTTTGACCATACATGAATCCCAGTGTTTCAATTGATCTTCTCTAGTTTGGATACCAGCTGGATTTAGGGCCAAGCTTGTTCTAACATGAGAAGTGTTCAGGAGAGGGAGAGAGATTAGCAATACAGCATAAGTAGAATGAGACAGCTTTTTAGACTACTGACAAGCCTCTGCACAACATAAGTTATGCCACATGGGTGTGGAGAATAAGTGGAGAAGAAATATTCCCATATTCAGGGGATAAAATCAGTCATGCACTGATCTTTCATCAGAATGTATCTTGTGCTTAAGAAACATGGTAGACACCAGGTGCCCAGCTCCCTGATAACCTTGTGGGGACATTCTGGAAATATATAAGGAAAACTATAGGTCAAGGCCAGACGAAAGAGCCTAGGGAAACTTTTGTTGACCAAAAGCAGACACTGTCAGTAGAACCGTCCAGAAAGATGGTTCTCGCTGAAGTAGAAAAAGCTATCCAACAAAGAGGAATGGACTTGATGAGTAGCTTTTAAAAATGGGCATTTTTAAATATTTGCTGGCCTCATCAAAGGTCAACAGCAACACGAGGAACTATAGAATTGCAGGAGACACAAACAAGTCTGTAGAAGTCCAAACAGGCCTGAACCGAGCCTATAACTATGTGCCACTGCCTTTGTTCTACTGCCTTCGTTAGAGGGTCCTGTTGGATCTCTGTTGCATTGTGCCACTCTATTTGCAAATAGATGTTTTACTTTAAATAAAACTATCTGCGTTGAGAGAGTGGTCTGTTGGTTTGAGAGTCTTGAATTTCCTAACAGATTTCGTGAAAGAACGAGAGCACTGAATTTTTTTCTAACAACCTCCACAAGTGATAATGCGTTTGGCCATCACATTTTCTCAGTTCTGCGGAACCGTTGGGCTGCTCTGCTTTTTCCTCTTTGCACAATCCATCCTTTGCATGATCGGGGTGGTTCCTTGACATTCCGGTGCTTGGTTATGTCCTTTTAATTTGCTGTCCTGTTCTTGCAGAACATGTTCCTTCTAATGCCAGCGATAGCGAAAGTAGCTACAGTAAGTTACAGCTTTTGTTTGGGTCTTCTCTCTCTTTTTTTGGTTTGAACTTCTGCCTTGCCGTTTATGGTTTTGTTTCTCTTACCTACTTCAGTAACTTACTCTCTTCTTTCCCTCTTTGCTGATCAAACTTTAAATGATCTTTAATGCGTTCTGATGGGTGCAAACGGCTTGGTGGATCTAATTAAATAAAAACAGAAATCCGCGGAGAAGATGGCTTGAAGAAGGCATGGCTTCCTTTAACAAGACTTCTTAAACTCCTGTTTTCTCATACAGAAAAAAAACATGCACCTATGTACAATCCAAATTTCCTCTTCCACAAAATTTAAGCTAACCTTAGACCCCCTTCTGAATGAGACCAAGGAGCCTGCTTTCTCACATATTTGGGTTCCAACTGAGCCAGCTCAGAACATTTTGCGCCCTGTTGGCAAAAGACAACATGGCACCCTACCATCGATTCCATGTGCAGAAGTTAATTGGACTGGCAGTTGAGTTTTACTTCAACACTGGCAATGGGAAAGCATCCTTCCACCCACCAGGGGACAGGAAAGTAGCTTATGGGCGCAAGGCAGGCTGTACGATGCACACAGCTTTCTCCTCCAAAAGACAGAAAAGACTAGAAGGTTTAGTAGGGGCAAATGTCCTTGCTTCCATTTCCAGAACCTGCCACCCGACACGGCTGTCTCACACTACCCAATGGTAGGGCCATCATCGGTTCCCGCAGTGACCAAGCTCTTCTTTCTGTGAAAGTGAGAAGTAAAGGATGAAACCATCACACCTTCTGGCTTGGTAGTCCCCAAAATAATGCTCCAGTTAGCAGAGGGAGGGATCAATACTGGGGCCTGGCTGTCTTAGTAGGTGGAATCCTAGGTTCAATCTAAAATTGACAAAAAAGACAGTGGTTGGCCAGGAGAACAGGTTGATCTGCCCTCCTGTTTAGGGATGAGGAACAGTTGGCCCTCTTAATCAATGCTTCCTAACCTTGGGTTGCCAGATATTCTTTGGATTACTGAACTCCCAGAAATCCTGGCCTGGACAGCTATAGTGAAGGAGTTTTAGTCCAAGGACATCTGGGGTCAAAGCCAACAGGAAGAGACGATCCAAATTGTAACCCAAAGCATCTGGAAGACTAGAAGTTCCATGCTCCTGCCATAGCTGAATCAGAGGGTTGGAAAGCCTCTGCGTCTTTCGTCACTAAAATGCTTTCTCTTTCAAAAACAAAGAAGGTGTTTCAATACATATTCACCACACCCTGAGTTTCTAGAATATCCATATTTTGCAGCTGGAACATTTTCCCATTACTTTCTCACACATACACACACTAAAAACACACACACGTACAAACATGCATACCCACTCCCGTAGACACACACTTTTCCTTCATTAAGCTGCCTTCCATTAAAGGCACAAAGCAATTAATGACATTTACTCATTCATGCCAGTCTCTATTTAGCTTAATTGCTCAATTGGTTGTAATTGCTCAATTAAACTAAATAGGCAACAGTGCGGCAATAAGGGAGGCGTGGGCTCCTGTGTGACAGAGTGCCAAAGGAGGGCAAAGGGTTCTTCACAAACAGCACCTCCTGATGGTGCTCAGCATCCCCTTCCCTTTTCTACCTGTTGAATGGTGTAGACCACTCAATGGGTTCTTAACCTTTGTTACTCAGATGTTTTTGGACTGCAACTCCCAGAAGCCTTCACCATCAGCTCTGCTGGCTGAGGTTTCTGGGAGTTGCAGTTCAAAAACACCTGAGTAACAAAGGTTAAGAACCACTGGTATAGACCAGCAATGGCAGAACTTCTCTGTGGAAACGTGAGCCATGCCAAGGCTCCTGCCCATGCCAGCCTGGTGCTGGGTGCGGCACTGCTCACTGCTACAGCTCCCCTCAAATTTATACCGCTGCCTTGTCCCCTGCCCGAAGGGAGCTCATGAGTGGCGCTGGCGGTGGTGATCAGGCGGCGAGCACAGCAGCAGGAGGCGAAGGAGAAGCTGCGCCCGGCAGCTGGGCGCAAAATTGCTACTGCCCATTGACTGCAACTCCTGCACT